AGCTATGTAAGGGTGGGGTCTTTAGCCCATCTTGGCTTAAGGTCTACTTACTGCCCCCAACTTCCACACAGAATATCTAAGCAAATTTTCACTGCCTCCATTTGTTAAAAATAATTGTTCTTTTATTTCTTTGGAAAGTAATGGGCCCTGCCCTACGGATTTCCAGGCCAAGCTAGGGTAATGAATGCTCCCCTAGTCTTTGGGCTGGAGTACTATGGTCCCGGCCTTCCCAGGGCCCAGGAGCAGTTCCTGTATCGTCCAACCCAACCAACTGGGAGCCAACTGTCTACGGGTTCCCATCAGGCCTTCTGTCCTGGCCACCTACTTCCCGATCTTTCCTGGCTCTCCCTCTGGCAGGGTATTGTTTTCTTCCAAAACCGGTGGTGGAACCTGTGCTGTGCAGAAGAGGACAAGACCAGGACGTCCCCAACTTCTCATAAGAGGACACAGCCTCTCAGTCAGTCCTTCCTCTCTGCTGGCTTCAGTCTGCACTCCTATGCAAGCCTCCACTGTGAGGCTTGAAGGAAGATGGACAAGAGAACCCTCGTAAAAGGGAGGTGAGCGAAAACACACCAGCCCGACCCCTCCTCAGGACATGCTTTCAGAAGCATACTCCTTGTAGTCTCTTATCCTCGCTCTTGAGGGAGCCCTTCAGACAGGGCCTTGGAGGGCTGGGTGAGTGGGCAAGAGCCCCTTGACCCCAGCCCTGGGAGGCTAAACCAGGGAAGTGTCCGTTAGCCCCATCAGTGTGGCATGGCTGTGATGCGCATGCTTTGGGAAGCGATAGGGTAAGTCACCATGGGAGTGGTGGTATGGCTCATTGTGATTCCTGCCAAGGGTTGGGCCATCGATACGGCCACAGGGGCCACAGGAGCCACAGATACAGCTACAGGAGCCATGGAGACAGGTGGGGGTGCCATTCCCTGGGCAATTGTTTGAGCCAGAGCAGCTGACAGTGGCGTGATCTCTGGGTTCAAGTGTGGGGGTGGGGGTGGTGGAGCAGCAGGAGGTGCAGCATTAGTTGGGGGAGCAGCTGGCGCTCCAGCAGGGGCCACCAGTTCTTGCTGGGACACAGGACGAGGCTGTAGAGCCTGACTGCTGAGAGTAGTGTGAGTCTGGGCAATGCCATGGTTAAAAGTGGCAACCGTGCCCACAGTGGGGGCCAGAGTCTGCTCAGTTGCTGGTGCAGTGGAGCTCAGGGTCATGACCTTGGCCTGATTGCGGAACTGAGCATTTTGTTCCAGCAGTACCTCATTGGTGGCCAGCAGGTTGCTGACCTGCTTCTTTAGCTCCTCCACCCGCTTCCTGAGCATTGCATTCTCTTCTTCTAGCAGCCTGCACTCCACCCCTCGGGAAGGAGCCAGACTATATTCGTAAGATTCAAAGTGGGGGCCATCAGGAGGGCAGCATCCACCTCGCCGGCGCTTGGGGCCTGGCTCATGGTCCTCAAAGCCCCTGTCAGGAAGGTCATAGATATCGTAGAGATCGTGACGTCGTCCCGGGGGCACTGAGCCTGTTGAGCCCCCACAACCAGTGCCTCCTCCACCCCGAGCATCGAACTCAAAATCCCGCTGCAGGTGACGGAACTTGCACTTCGCTCCTCTCTGACAGTCCCCCTTGAGGAAATCACGGCAGATAGGGACCTCCTCCTTGCCATTTGGTAAGTCAGCTGGTGAAAGGCCCAGGCCAGCCGCTACTTTCTGCCTCAGCCGAGGGGGAAGCTCTCCTGTCTTCTTATAACCATCCTCATCCTCCTTGGAGCCATGGATGAAACGGCAGTTTGGGCGGCTACACTCCTTGTTCTGGAAGTCATGGCAGAAGATGAACTCATTTTTGCTCACCCCCAAGTTGGACACCTCACTCATGTCTGGGTGACGGTATCGACAACGCTTGCCTCGCTTGCACACATTCCTCAAGAAGTCTCTACAGATGGCATCTGAGCTGGCCCCACCACTGCCTGCCCCTGCCCCACTGGCCTCCTCGCTGCCACCACCTCCAGGGCCTCCACCGCTGCTCCCAGTGCCATTGGCATAGCTATCCCGGTCAGGCATCCTGGTCTCCCCCAACTCAGGGCTTTCTTCTTTCTCTTGCCACTCTTGGTGACCACTAAAAAAAGAAGAGAAGTATATCAAACAAGAGTCCTCTAGAGAGATCCCATTCTTCCCGACTATAAGGCAGATGGCCCAGAGGGGCAGTGGCTTTGGAGGCAGAGAATCTAAGGAATAAGAATTATAGCTGAAATGGCTGACCTGTCAGAAGTCCCACCCAGGCTCTTGTGCACCTGGTCTGGGTCAGAATGATTCACACTTGCCTGGCTAACAGAAAAGGGAGGGAGTTAGGGTGAAGCCACCTCATCTCATTAATGGTGATAGGCCAAGGAGGGGGCAGGGAAAGAATAGTGTTGGATTTTATTTTCCAAGTTGACCTTATTAAAGTTGTGGAAGTGAAATTAAAACTGCTGCTGGTATCTAAATAGGCTGGAAGGAGACTGGGAGTAGTGCACAAGATGGGCTGCTTAGCTATTCGGGCTGTGGATGATGGGACACTGGTAACAAAACCCTCTTCCATGTCCTCTCAGGGGAGCGTTCTGTACATATCAGATCTCTAGAACCCAAGAACTCCTGGGTGAAAACACTGGTGTTACCAGCTTGAAGGCACTTCCCAAGCCTGTCATTTTTTAGTATTGTCTCCTAGCCCATTAACACGCTCAGCTGGAACAAGGTGAGAGGTGAGCCCCTTCATTTCGGGGGAGAAGTTGTAAGTTGGAATCTCTACTTCTAGGCACCACTAACCCAGGACAAGACCATTTGTGACAAGGCCAAGGTGGGAAAGAGTTAATTTCACAGACACAAATGACCTTTCTTTCCCCACCCCCCACCCCTTTTTTACCCAGCCCCCCATGTGAAGATCCCACTGACATCAACCTACACTATTCCTCACCCCATAACGATCCTCTTTATTTATAGACTCCATAAAAGCTTTTTAAGTCTCCTATTTCCCAAGACAGCTCTGGAATGTCACTCCACTGCCCTGGTTCTAGCCCTCCCCTCTCTCCACCCCAATAAGACTGGGAGGGAGTCCCTGCTACCACGTGTGTGACCGCCCAAACCCTTCCTAGACGGTGTTCAGGCTCCCCCTGCTGTTGAAATAGGAAAACTTCAGTTTCCCCTTAAGCATAGGGAATCTTCCCTGAATTCTTTGGCCTTGACCTATCCCATCCCACTGAAGACTTTGCCTTCAGATCTCCCTAAACTGAACTGACCAGGCTAGAGACCACCGTTTCTGTAAAGAAAGAGGGAGGGTCCTCTCCCTCAAAAGGGAGGTAGTCCCAGAATAACAGAAACAATCAAGGTAAGAAGTGTTATAATATGCAAACTTCTACTGAGGGGAATGACCAGGTGAAGAATAAATGCCCTCTATCCAGCCTGAGCCACACTGCAAGTCCCATCAAACGCAGATTGCTAGACACGATGTTCCGCCCCACCCAACTGTCCCAGAAATGATACCTGAGGTAGCTCAGGTGAAGTCCGGGGCTCCTGTGGGTCTCCACCTCCACATCACTGCTGGGTTCTGAACAAGAAGAAAACAGAGACTTGGGTGGGAGAAGGAGTAAGAGTGGAGAACTATGGGGTGGTTGTCACAAGAATGAAGTCCGGGCCAGGCGTGGTGGTTCATGCCTGTAATCCCAGCACTTTGGAAGGCCAAGGGAGACAGGATCCCTTGGGGCCAGGAGTTCAAGACGAGCCTGGTCAACATAGAGAGACCTGGTCACTATTTACAAAAAAAGAAAAAGAAAAAAGAATGAAGTCTAAAAAACTGGCAAAGCTCTGGCAACTTCATGATTTCCTTAGGATTCAGACTAAACTTCTCCACCTGTCAAGGGGAGACGTCGCCAGTAAGGCGAGTAAGCGACACAACTAACTAACTGGGAGGGTGAGCTGGGAAACCAGCCCTGAGTGAACAAAGGGTGAGGGGCGCCCCGCCTCGGGATGAGGGAGGGTGTGGGGTCAGAGCCCGGCAGAGGGCTGGAGCAAGGAGCGCCGAATGGGGAGCCTTACAAGGGCAGCCTGACAGTGCAGTGGGCTGGCACATTACACTTGGGGGCGGTGATTATGACGCTTCCCAACACCCTAGAGTTTGAGAGAAAAGTCCGAGGAGTTTCCCCGAAGCAAGTCTCCTCGCTCGGCAGCTTCTGTGCAGTGCCACCGTGGCCCAGGTGAACAGGATACCAGGGGAGCGCGAGGTGAAGCGAGGGGGTGGGGGGCACCAGGTGACACCAAGCTGAGGGGATGGGCAGAGCTGTGACGTCACGGAGCTGGCGTTTGCTCGCGAAGCGGGGTCAGTCAGACAAGGGGCACTGACTGCCCCGGGGTGTGAGGAAGAGCCAGCTCGGTTTTGGGGGGCCTCGTGCGGCCCGGCTGAGCCCAGCCGCTGGGCCGGCCCGACTCCTCCCCTCCGGGCGCGGCCTCCACCTAAGCCTCCCGCCTCCCTCCCCTGCCGCCGCCGCCGTAGTTGCTGCTGCCGCCTGCCGGTCCTCTAGCTTCGACAAAGAGCCGCCCACCCTAGAGCTCTTCCGCTTCCTGCGGAAGAGGCGACGCTCTACCCACCAGACCCGGAACTATACTCTATGGTGGGCGAAGGATTTGTGCGACAAGCCGCAGGAAGTTCCCAGCAAGCTTTGCGCGTCACCATGGCAACCCGACTCCAATGCACCGAAGAGCCCAAAAACCGGTAGTGGCCTCTCGGAAAGCAAGGGTGGAGCCAGCATTTGCCCCAAACTTGCCCGCGCATCTCAAAACCGCCCCCCGGGGCCACACTACACCCCTTCCGGTTCTAGCTGACGTCGACCACACCGCACAACCCGGGCTATTGCCAGCATAGCTTTCTCGACAATCTTCCACAGCACAGATAGCGTGACAAGTCACAAACTATACTGATACAAAAAAAAATCCCCCAAGGGATGGAACCATAAAAAACACATAATAGACGAGACAATTCGATTCTTCAGCTAAGACACCAGAAGAGATGATTTATTGTACACTCGTTACATTCGGCCACAACTCAACACAGAACTAGTCCAGAATGTCACAGGTTCAGGGCCAAGGACCAACGGGAACTGTTTTGGTATGATGAGCAAGGTGGGTCTCTCAGAGGCGGTCTTGACGATCGGATGGCGTGGAGTTCTAGATTCCTGGAGAGACGAGTTAGACAACTTGTACCAGCGTCCCGAGCCTCTGGCATTCCATGTTTCTGCTTCTGTGGCCTCCACGGGTGCACAAGCGAGAGGTTTACTTGGACCTCTGCCTCATCTTTCTTCTTTTGCGCTTCAGCCTGAAAAACAGACACGGGAATACAACTCTTGTCCTCAAACCAGAGTTGTCTTCCCCTCCCACCTTCCAACATGCACACGCGGGGTGGCAAAAAGAATTAAAAAACCACGGTTCTATTGCCTCGTGTTCAGTCTCTGGCCCAGGGAAAGAAATCCTCTTATACGTTTCTCTCCTAATATCCTTTTAGAATTCCAAAACAAACGTTTCTCCTAAGTTTTGTCCAAGGCGCACTCCGCTTCCCTCCTCCTGGGTTGGCAAAGCCTCAACGTACCTGCGCATTCGCTTCTTCCTCCACTAGAAACCGAGCACAAGCAGCAAAGAACAACAAAAATAGATCAGTCTCGTTAACAGGCTTAGGTAGAGATACCGAGTGCACCGTTTAGAACCACACAGGTTAACCAACCAATTATAAAGGACTGGTCGCAGCAAATCGCATTAATAATTTAGACACCCTCACTCAACATTAAACTCTAATTCCGCCCGCTACCGCTTGCCCTCTGTAGCCACGGTACTTAACCGCTACGCCCCCCTGCTTCTCCACCAAACTATCCCTCTCCCTCCTACTAGCTCTCGGGAACCCTTCGGAACCCACTGGTTTGGGAACCATGGCGGACTTCCCTTGCCTGGGTCTCCCCTTAGTCGCCGGCTACTATCTCCCAGGCTCACTGCTAGGGAAAGCTCACCTTGGCCCTCATAGTGCGGAGGTTTCTACGGGAAAAGAGAAAAAGATTACAGTTAGTTTGCTGCGATGATGGCAAGCGCAGAGTTCAGATGTCAGCGGATTGTACGCGGAATCCAAACACAGGCAGCACCAGCACTAACCTAAGAAGATGGCGCTAAGGCCGAGAGAAAGCCGAAGTTCCGCCTACTGCCTTTTAGTGGAGCTCCCGGTGTCGTCACTTCCTCTGCCCCGCCCTTTTCCCCAGGGGTGGGGCTGCCCAGAGGAGTAGCAATGGATTTCCGCCTCTCTTAGCAGATAAGTGGCTGAGCTAGTACTTCGTATTCGAGTTACCAATTCCTCCCCCCTTTTATTATGAGGACACTGCACTAACGTGTAACGATATTTCCATTATCGGACCAGGAGGCGCGGTTGGGAAAAGGATGGCGACTTCCGCCTTCCCTCACATTGCTTCCTGGGAGATGCAGTTTCCTGGCGAAGTCCTCCATTTTGCTACGTATAGGTGCGGACTGCACAAAATTCTTGATTTGTTTTCCTGGTTTGCCTTATTTTGTAAAACCAATTGCTGCAGGATGATTCGACTTGGAAGCTTCTGAAGGTCCTAAGATTGCAACATAGAAGGATGTGAAGAGGGGAGTCGAAAAAGCTGCCATGCCACAAAAAGAGACCCTTTGGCTGTGTAACAGCAATTATTTTTCCTGAAACTCCAATAATAAAATAACTGACTGTGGTCTTTCCCTGCAATGCCTTACGTAAAATGTCACTAGAGATTGATTCCTGTCCTCAATGCATCATTTGTTCAGAAAATGCTTCGGTGATTCTCCAGGGGTGAAAAATCGAACCAATGGACAAAGAGAAAGATGAGCTAAATACTCTCCAGGGAAAGTATGACTTTTAGCGTTGAGCTAAAGGACTTCCCAGTCTCACTGTATAGTCAGGTGAGAACCACAGGAAAACAAGCAGATTCCCTGCTATTTGGCTACAGGAAACCTGAGTTATGGAGGATGAAAAAGAATCCAACGCTGAACCATACAGACTTCATCTTACTGTTTAAACTATAAAAGATTGTGTGAGTGAGTGAGTGTGTGTGTGTGTGTGTGTGTGTGTGTGTGTGTGTGTGTGTGTGATAATCCTTTTCTGGCGATTTTTTTTTGAGTCGAAGTCTCATTCTGTCGCCCAGACTGGAGGGCAGTGGCATGCTCACCGCCCCTCCGCAGCCTCGACCTGCTGTGCTCCGGCGATACTTCCGCCTCAACCTTCCAAGTAACTGGAACAACTACCACGCGCGGCTCATTTTGATTTATTGTAGAGATGAGGTCTCGCCAAGTTGCCCAGGCGGGTCTCGAACCCGCGGGCTCAGGCAATCCACTCACCTCAGCCTCCCAAGGCGCGGGATTACAGGCTGAGCCACCGAGCCCAACTTATTTTTTTATTTTTTATTCACCAATTTGCCCAGGCTGGTCTCGAATCTTGGACTCGGGCAATCCTCTCGCCTCTGCCTCCCAAAGTACTGGGACTACAGGCTTGAACCACAGCGCCCAGCCAGCAGAATTATTTTGTATGGAAGTCCATAAAGATGTAAACTGTTGATTGCCAACTGGATTGTAAACTGTATGAAGAAAACTTTTTTTTTTTTTTTTTGTCAGAGTCTCACTCTGTTGCCCAGACTGGAGTGCAGTGGCCGCTCCCGGATCTCCTTCCGCCTCAGCCTTCCAAGTAGCTGGAATTACAGGCACGCACTACCACACCCGGCTAATTTTTGATTTATTGTTGCCCAGACGGGTCTCGAACCCGCGGGCTCAGGCAATCCACTCACCTCAGCCTCCCAAAGTGCTGGGATTACAGGCTGAGCCACCGAGTCTGGCTGAAAAAAACTTTTTTAAAAAAATAGGCTATTTTTTAGGCCAGGCAACAAAGTGTTACTTCATCTCAAAATAAACAGATTATTTTTTAGGGCAGTTTTATTTTTTTATTTTTTATTTTTTGAGTTGGAGTCTCACTCTGTCACCCAGACTGGAGTGCAGTGGCCGCTCCCGGCCACCGCAGCC